GGGGGGGGGGGAGTCACTTAGAGTTAGATATTCAGAAGTGCCCAGCACACTGGGTGCTGAAGTTCATTAAACAAGTCATCTATCTTCTTTCCCTTTGCTTCTGTAGTGGGCACTGGCCTCTGCAACTCCCAGTTGGCTTCCCATCAGGCCATCAGTGCCCGTTACAGTCTCAAGTGGGACACTAGATGGCGCTTGACCTCCAAGCTCCTGTTTCCTGATTCGATTTATTTATTTTAAACTGTGCTCTAAATTGCTTATTTGCTAGGAATAATAAAAAGCGTGGATGCTCAGAGGTAGTTGCAAGGGCTGTAAAACAAATAAGGTGGTTGTTTTTATGCATGGCGAGGTCGCAGCAAATAGGGAAACAAAGAAGCCAATGTTCCCAGGGTGGGCAATTTTCAGACTTGCTTTTAAATAACCATAGCTGAGTATTACCCCTAATGTGTATTCTTAATCAGTTACTTAGTAATAGGAATTCTGGATCAAAAATCACCTGCCAAGAAAGCTGTCTTTTTTGTCTCCCATGTGGTTTTAGATCTCAGCTATGCCGCTTCTATTATAAGGAAGCAGAACATAAGTTTGCATTTTGTAATTTCAACACAAAATAGTTCTTTTGTTCGAACAGATTTTCTTCTCTTCCCTAGTTACACAGTCACCTTCTTTCTATAGAATATGATTAATTAAATGCACTTTCCTAGGGATAGATGGGCATACATGTTGCTGTATTTCTTAATCCCTGAAAGCAACCTTTCTTATCATACTTCGCATTTTCATAGCACTCTTCAGCCCTGGATCTCAAAGTGGTCTACAATTGTGAGTTGGTATCATCATCATCATCCTCCCCATATTACAGATGAGGAAACTGAGGTATGGGGAGGTGAAATGATTAGCTGAAGATACCCCAGTGAGTAAATGGCAGAGTGGCATATAGGAACCTTGCTATCCTGATTCTATCCTCTAACCATTTTGTGAACAGACTGCTTGGTATTTATATCTAATTTACTTCACCCTCTGATCAGGGTAATTCTGGTAACTGCTCTGTCAGGGGACGTTACAGGTATCAAATACTTACACTCCCTGGAATTGCAGGTTGGAATCTAAACAGAATCAACTCAGCCTTTCAGAGGAAGATAAACTGAGATCTGTGCAACTTGCTGTGTTTAAAGGAAACCTTTGAAAACTGTGGTTCTGCTCTGACAGAGCCCATTACACTTTTCATACGAGTTGGCCTGTTACTAACATATGTCCTACCCCCAACATTTGCACCGCATGCTGTGTGCATCAGCTACCACCTTCTCCCCAGCGCTGGCTGCATTTCAGTGGTTGTGTAGCTATAGATCTAAACCACTTTAGGATACTTCAGAATAAAAAGTGCTACAGAAATATAAAAGATATTGGGTCCATTTTTTATTGGTGTAAACTAGTGCATCTCCACTGACTTCAGTAGAACTGTGCCAATTTATACTAGCAGAGAATTTTGGCCTGTGTATTGTTTGGAGAATAAGGATTGCCTGATTGGATCAGACCCGAGGTCCAGCCAATCCAGAATCCTGTCTCTGCTAGCTGCCGATACGAGATGCTTCAGAGGAAGATATAAGAACCCCCATTGTCCTGGTCTGCACTGAAATTTGCTGCTTCTACACCAAATGGATGACACAAACCATGCAAGGAACAGGAAGTGAAATTCTCTTCTGAGTAGGAGGAGAGTTTTTTTCCAGAGACACATTGTCTCTGCAAAGCCTCCAGGTTGACTAAGATACACATCTCACTGCTTGTTTTGCTGTAGTGGGCCAAGCTGCCTCTACACCATTGCCCACCAGAGTGCCTCTTTAGCACTGCCTAGAGGTGGGGTCTTTAGCCTCCAGGGTCACTCATTCCTTGCTGTGGCTGCTTGCAAAGGCGATCTAGATTTATTGTTTGGAAAACTGACCAACCCTCACTGACTTGTGACCAGCACAGAATAATCCTTCATCTGTGTGTTTGCACTGGGATGACCTCAAGTGATACAGATGATGTAGAAAGACCTTTTGTCTCACCACATTTGGAAGCCCTGACTGTTGTTTATGGTTGAGCATCACCATTGAGTTTGCTTTATCAGGCAACACTTGGAAAGTTACATTGTAAATGTGCAGTAGGTGAGTGTCTAATCCCCTTAATCCTGTATTTAAAAAGCCTGACGTGTTTTGTTTTGGTTGTTTTTCCCTATCCCAAACCACTTTTAGGGAACTGGAGGGATGAGGCTTCAAATTATGCCAAACACTTTTATGCTTTAGTTCATGTATTAATAATAAAGGACAGGTGGTTTCCTAAGGTCTGTCGTGTGGAGCTGAAGTAGTGGGGCCTGTAAACAGAACTTGTATGGGAGTCCAGTTGCAGCTGGTGTCTGGTCAAACAGTGCTCAGAACCTGGTATGCTGGCTATGCTGAGCCAGGCTCTCTATGCTGGTTGATTCCAGTGGAGTTATACCAGAGTAACTCGAGTCATGGAGGTACTATTAGCTAGGTCTGATTCCTGCTAGCTACTCTCTGAGCCTGATTGTCCACTCCATTACACTGAATTAACTGGGTTGTCGGACGCCAAACTCCATTAGTCTTCTTTTGAAAATCCCGTGACCGTGTGAGTTGCCCCAGTGCATACATAGTGTCTCTTTCTTGCCATGTTATATTTTCACTGGGTTGTCTATTCCAAGTCCCTCGAAGCAATGGGATAGAGTTTTTTGCTGCTATTCTACTGGTGTGTGAATCCAGCCCTGGTCAGTAGCGACTGTTGCCCCATGAGTACTATTTGGTGTCTGATGTGAGGTGACTTTCTCTTTAATGATCACTTGTCAGACATTATTTACACTCTAATGGAAAAAAGCTGGCAAGTGCAAAGACATAGAAGTTAAGGTAATTTGATTTTCTGCATCATAAATCTCCACAAGCTGTGTAAAATTCTCATGGTTGGGCACTTTTATAAAACAAAAGGCCTGATTCTTCTCTCCCTTACCCCAGTGTAAATCCATTTGAATCAGGTACACCAGTGTAAGAGGAGAAGCAGACCCAGTGATTTTACAGTACTGGTACTCCTGGGTTTCTCACTAAGGGTTCTCTTCTATTCTTAGTCTGGAGTGGCAACTACTATCACCAGTGCAACTAACTCCATGGTGTCACTTTGGATTTACACTGGAAGAGAGCAGAACTTCGCTACTTCTGTAACAATTCTCAAATGAGGTGGTCTTCTTTTGAGACATAGGTTACACACATGTCCAATTCTGTCTCCATTTATTCTGGTCCAGGTCCACTGTCTTCCCTTGGGTAAACGAAGACAGAATTTGGCCCATAGCAAGCTGTTTTTTTTTTCCCCCCTTTCTTTTTTCCTACTGATTCTATTCTAAGTACTGAGTATATCCAGTTTTACAGGGAGTTATCATACATATTTGGATTAGTTTTACATTGTGCATCTGTCTGCGTTTGTTTAAACAAACAACATTATGCTGTTCTTTAGAGTGGAAGGCTAGGGTTTGCGAGACCACTGGCCCAGCAATTATGTGGAACTCAACCTCCACCCCCACCTAATACACCTAACCCAATTATCAAGTGCTGTGGTTAGGTGAAGGACAGAATCCCTAAATGACCCTATCTTGATCAGCTTATGTGTAGTAGTAAGAGACAGTATACCCTTTTTTTCTTTTTTCAAGTCTCTACAGCAGATGCATTGTTTATTCTCATTTGTACATAGCAACGCAGGAATGCATTGTGCTTTACATAGTGACTAAAGTTATAGGGCTGTATTCTCCTTTCACGCTGGTTTTATATGTCTCCAACTTGATTGATTTCAACAGAGTTACTGCTGATTTACGCTGGTGCCAGCAAGATTCAGAATCAAGGCCACGGGCCCTGTGCCCAAAAGGTTTGCAATCTAAATTGATCATGATAAGCTGCTGGAGAGGAGGGATATTCCAGTTCACCAGAGAGGTTGGAGAGAAGGAAGATGGAGAATAGGGTTATGGGGTTGTTAATTCTCTGCCTTCTGAGTGCTCAGGAATCTCTTCATCACCCCAGCTTTACAAACCTATCCCCAGATACATTCAGAGGCAAATGCCTCCTTCCCCTGCTGTGTGAATTTACACAAACACATCAGCTAGAGAACTATGTGGAATATCCAGACTATGAACACACGAAAATACCAGACGGGACAGGGAGGGCTAGGTTTGGGCCCTTATCAGTGCTGGAGTGGACTCTTGCTAGACATAGCAGAGAGATAAAGGACAAGGTATCTGAGGTTTGGTTTATTAAAGGAGTCCAGATTTTTTTTAAAGCTGACTCCATTTGGCTTATTTAAAAATAAATAAGTGAATGAATTTGGTGTTGCTGAAAGGTGCAGTCTTGAGAGCCCAGCTAGAAAACTGGCCTAATTCTCATTGACACGAAGGCCTTTTTATCCTGCTCTAGCCATGTGAAATGGTCAGATAGCTACCTTCCACTTTAAAGCCCCTTTACAGAGCCAGGATGGTATAAAGGGACCTACTGTAATTGGGAATTCAGGACTAAAATAACCTGTTGATCCCAGCACATCATTGCAAGCTCACGTGCCCCACACTGCCCCCACCACTTGGCATGTTTACACTGCTATTGCTAATCCTGTTTTACCGTAGGGTTAAACATGGGGTGGGGGGGGACAAACGTGGGCCCTGTTTACAGTACAATTGGCA